AAAAACTCACCAAAAAAATCAGGATCTGAAGAGTTCTCCATACTTTTGACTAACAGATCAGTCAAGTGGTCGACTTCGGCTTCCTTTCCAATAGTATTTCTGCTCAAAGGATTGGCTGAGACAGCAGATCGAGAGCGACTGTTCGGTGGATAATATCCGGCTGAGTATAGCGAAGACAAACCACTGGCACTGCTATACGTCGATCGGTTTGACAGTTGACTTGAAGGCCGGGGAGTAATTGGTTCGTAGATTGAGTTCGTGTCGTATGTACTCTAATATAGCAAATAAGTTGAACAAAGTTTTTAACTAAGTTTTGTGTTTTTAACACAAAAAAAATCAGTTATAATTGCACTGAAAAACTGAGTCGATTCCGGATTACGTCCCGTTCCGTTTGGATGAATGAGTGAATCTGTAGGTGTTTTGGGACTACATTTAAATGATTTTCTTCTTATTTTAAACAAGTGTTCACTTTTCACACGAAACCCTTTTCTATTTTAGGTAACCAACAAAAAACTGCCGCAAAACTGATATTTCACTAGTCGTACACCGAGTCAGTCATATACTCTAACCTTCATTTCTAATACTGTTTCTCATACTTCTTATGCTTTTTAACTTTTATTCAACACATCTTATGTTTGTCCTTAGATTTCCATTTATATCAACATAACTACATAACTAACTTAGTGTATACTGCATACTGTATAATGCATTCAATTTAAACACATATATCACTCAATTAATAAATAGCCTATTATTCCTTATATGTATTCTCTGTTTGGATACAATTAACTCATTATAAACTCGTTTTTCTTGACAAATATCTCGTTAATCACACATTTCTATAGCGATAGTCATAAAGAAACTTGTAAAATAATTGAATTGGATGTTAAACTTAAGCAGTAATTTGTTAAATATTAGCAAACATTGAATAACAAAACAACTAAAATAGCGCTTATTATATAAAAGTTGTCGTCGACTCTACTTCTATACCACTCTTAAAAACTCTATGTCTTTATGTTTTTGTGTTTTCTTGACTTCAATTTTGTGTCGAGAAAGTTAATCGCAAAGAAAATTTAGAGCAAAACCAATGCCAACAACACTAATACGTGTGGAGAAAACTCCGGTGCGAGAGATCCACCCATTAATTCCCTTTCAGTACATCATATTTAGCATAAGACAACAAATTGCAAACGACATCACCAGAGAATCACTTACTGGTGCTCTCTCTCTCTCTCTCTCTCTCTCTCTCACCCAACATCCCATCCCATCCTATCCACTCCCAACATCCCATACCTCACTCCACACACTATGTCTGGAAGACTTTGGCTGTGTTTTGGCACCAGTTCTCACAAATTGTTTGCCAAACGCTTACGTGAGTCGAGAAATACGAAACTCAACAAAACATTGGATGAAAACTATTTATAACATCTAATTATCTATTTTTTCATATTTTTATCACTCATTTATTTAATTTCACTTTATTTTTATACCACAAAAGTATAATTAATGTTTATTTTTTGCATTTATATATCTGACGAAAAATATTTAATATTTTTAGCTCGTATTTCATATTCAACGCCAATTAAGACGGACTCCAATAGTGTTAACAAAACTTCAAACTATTTTCGACTCAATTTGTATAAACTGTGGTTTAAATGGATTTTTCGAAAAGCAATTAAATGCCAAAAATTATGCCAAATATAAGCGAAATGTTTACGAAAACACTTTTTTAATAAAATTTTTGTTTCAAACAATTCATAAAATGAATGCAATGTTTGCCTCAAAAACACTCACCACAGAAGACTGGGGTCTGAAAGTGGCGTAACTGGCGTTGGACTCGTTGGCTGTCCAGCTATTGGCGGGAGAGTTGGCGCCGTTGGACACGACATCCAGATCGACAGGTGGCTCAGGGAATGGCTGCTGATTCTTAGGCGGAGAGTAGTTCAGTGGCTGTAGTGGTGGCGGAGGGAGTGGCAGATCAGACACGTCCTCGTCTATCACCGGTATATTGCTATACAATGGCATCTCCGCTGTCATGGGTTGGCATCCTGTCAGCCATCGAGTCATGGATCAGATGTTACGTGAGATAATGAGATAACAGGAAGAATGTGTCAAATGAATGAATACCTATTTGTTTCTTCATTTGCCATTTGTCTATATTTGACATCTGCTTTGAGTACGAATCCATCGGTGGTCTGCCAGACATAACATATATACTAGTGTTCAGTGGATCCATGGATCAGATCAATAGACATCATAATTCATACCAAATCACAATCTCTGGACACACCTCTTGACCACCAAATGATTGAATATCCGTCAGATTTGTTGACAAAACGCTTGAATGTGTTGGTTATGACTGAATCAATAAATGGCACACTTTTTAGCCACAAATGTGCTGAAGAGTTGAGTTGACAATGGATTGAATGTATGAAATGGCAGTGAATTGAGTGTTGATTGCAATTAACAGACCATTGATTGGGTCGTCGATGTGTTGTTGTTGTCTATGAAGTGGTGTTTGAATAGTGAAGTCAAGTGTCAATGCATTCATACATCGGATGGCGTTATAGTTGTTATCGTATGCGTCGAGACGAGCATTCAATGCTATACTGTTTGCAGTCATTATCAACACATTGCGTGCAATTATAGCGAAAAAGTGATTATCAAATCATTTTATTTGTAATCGTATTATACGTGCAATTAGTGATTCACTCATTCACGTAATCTCATAGCAAAACACAGGTAATGACCGGAAGTTGTATTTGTGAGACATGTTGTAAGACATTGTATTAATAGTTACAAAGTTATATTAATACCAATTTGAGACTGTATTTGCTTTAATAATTATTATTTGTATGTGTGATAGGGTTTGTTAGGTTGGGTTAGGTTAGATCAGAAAAGTTTTGTACTGTTATGAATGCAACATTAGTTTAGTCACAGCTATTGTAATGCAATATAAGTTTATATTAACTTACCTTATAACTTATTTGACAAAATGATAGTATTTGAAAACTTATTGAATGAATAAATGGACACATGTATGAAAATTTAAATGAATTTATTTGATTTCAACTGATATGATAGACAAGACTTTATTACACTTCAAGCATTAAAACAATATAAATATAAAGTAAAATTGAAAATATAATCAATGCTTTTAATCGCTATATCTTTTCTTAAGAAAGTTATTTCATTTATAATGAAAATTGCTTGTTCAAACATTTACAATCTGATTAATTTTTATTAAATATCAGATTCATATATATATATTTATATATAATTATGTAACGATTTTCTCAATATATTTATCACAAATTTTCTTTTAAACAGATTTCATCTGAATATTTGAGAATACGATTGAAAATCTGCTCTTAATTTTGATTAACATTAAAATAAAGTCTAATAATTGGCAAACGATTAAACAATTTGTTTGATTAAATGTAAATAGTTGTTGCCATATATTATTTGTATATAAGTTATTAGGGTATATTTATTATGGTATATAAGTTATCAGGGTCTCATTTATTAATAATTTTCACATAAGATTTTACAAATAAACTCAAATAAGAAAAGTATTAGCGATTGAATAGATTTTCTGTAAATTGTAAAACAATGCTAATTTATAATTAATTTTAAAATTACATATTATTTGCTGTTAACAATTGAAATATATATAATTGAATAATAGATAATCAAAAGTTTTGGGATAAATGAATGTCTTAGAAGTGCATAACTATTGAAGTGATGACCAAAACTGAACGACTCTATCATATAATTGAGAATTGAATACAGAATTGTAAATATATTTCGATGAAAATGTCATATATTGTGCTACTATTAAAACGGCAGTGTATTGTATTGTATTGTATTTTGCTTAAGGCCTAAGAATTCATGCTTTTCCCATAATTTGGCCACAATATCGATGCGCTAATTAAACATTAGAAATACATTACCAATAAGTTTGTTGTCGTTTGGTTTGTATAAAAATTGTCTCACATTTAAATCTTTCACTTTTGAAAAGTTAATTCGCATTTAAAATATTTTTAATAAAGTAAACCAGTTCTTTGTAATAATCATAACAATTGAGTTAACATTTGGATTCGGTTCTCAACGGCAGAGAGAGAGAGAGAGAGAGAGATTTTGGTAACTTATATAATGTTATTTCTAAATCATATAAATTGCAGTTTAAGAGCATTTGATTAGTTTAATGAATGTTAAACTGATTCTAATTTTAAATCTCTTTGAATATACAGTAAGTATAGACTAATTGAATAAAAATAGAGGATTATTAGGAAATGTAAAGCATGTTTAGCTATTGATAAGCGATGTATTGTATAATTATTTGAAAAATTAAATTATATTCATTTATATCGTTTTGTTTCTTTTGAACCAATATTTTACAATTAATATAATTATTTATATTTGTAATAGATATTTATTGTATATTTATTAGAATTTGAAATTTTAACGTGTTATAATTATAGAAAACAAATAACTTTAACAATAATAAAGTAAAAACAACTCTCAATAACAGTCTGAATATAACTTTTTATAATTATTCGAAGCATTGTATAGATTATAAAGAATCGCTTTATATAACAATAAACACTTTGAAATTCAATTCACTTGTTGTGTGCCTTTTAATCCTTATTATATACACATATTATTATTGATAAGCCATTACTAAGAGATTCCGCACTATGTTTTCAAAAAGTTTTGAAACTTGATAAAAAATTTGTATAATTATTCGAGATATATAAAAATAATTAATCAAATCAAATGAAATGAACATAAATGCAAACAAATATATGATTTGCCTTGTTAGTAATATCAGTGGAATCTCTTGAGTTAACCATTAAATTGACTTCAAAGGAGTTTTGTTAAGATTAAGCGAAAAATTATCTTGGTTATTTATAATTATATATGTTTTGTGAGACAATCAAAAGATCACATGATTTGCAAAAGATTTTCAAAACGAAAATTCGCTGCTTTTGAGAGATAGAGAGATAAATATATACTTTAAAAGCGAAAGTAATGCCAAAAATTGAGGAACATTTGAGCGTCAATTCAATTAACAATATTTACATTTACTGTATATAGAAATTTGTGTTCATTGAGAGCACCGGTAATATACTCATCATGGTAATTGATTTGCTGTTAACAAAACTTAATAAACATTTCTCCAAAATTCATTATTTGTTTCAATAATATTCCTAAATATCTTTAATTGAGACCTTTCTCAGATTCTCAACATATATTTGGCTTTTATATTGTATTATAGAATAGTTTTATTACCTTTATCTTGAAATTAATTAAAACTCTTTGAATAAATAATTTAAACAAATGATTATTGTTTTAGTCATTCATTTGGCGATTTATGTGTTAACATAATTAGCTACTGATTAAGCATTGATTTAATGAACTTAAATACAATAGCATTGTTCTCAAATAGAGGTTAATTTGTCTAAAATATACCTGAATTTTGCGGTAAAAATAGACTAAACACTAAGAGTACTGACGTTTGCCTTAAGTGCTAAAACGTGATACAATCTCTAATTATCGTTCATTTGAGACTATATGTCAGCTAAAAGATACCTTCGGTTGGGATGAACCTTAGAGTCTAACCTTAGAAACCTTAGACTAACCTAAGAAAGCGCCGACTGTTTCAGAAATATCCCGGATGTTCGGCAATACAGTAGTAGTGACCGTTGTATATGATTCCCACCTCTCGTAACACTTCGCCTCTGATGGTGGCCTTAATCACCCAATTATGGCAGTCCTGACTCTCCTTCTCTCTCTCCAACTTATCGATGTCTACAATCTTAGAGCTGAGGCGCTCTAATATCACTCCGATGTCCTTTACATTCAAATGCCTCTTCTGTTCGGCCGATAACTGGTCGACAAGAAGTAGATATCGTTCACAAAACTGTTCGTCTTCTCTCTCCGTCGTCTCGGTCTCTGAATCCGAGTTATTGTTTGAGATCTCGATTCTCGTGGGTTCGGTATCCATGAACCTCACGTGACCCTTCACGGCACTCGGCTTCTTAGGTATGGCTCCTGTAGCCCGCATCGCATCAATGCTTTCGGCAGACGATGAGATACCACTCAACAGAGGTATGGAACCGATCGCTTCCTGAACGGGTGAAGTGGTAGCGGATCTGTTCACCTGTTGGACGACATATGATATGATTAAATGATTGGAAAGGCATGTGAAAGAGTTGGTGTCAACTAGACGTACACTTATCTGTCCGCCCCCTCTGTGAAGAGCAGCGCAATGGAAGTCACAGAGAGAGTGGTCGTGATCTAAGTCTGCCGACGGACTTAACTGCTCTATGCGTTCAAAGTCGTCGTCTTCATCCTCAGTGGACAGTGTCCTAAATGGCAGTGTTCTTGTGATAGGTCTCTGTTTGAGACCATCGAGTGATACTTTGGCACGACTGGTGCTGGCAGTTGAGCTGAGGGGTATAGCTTGTGATGAATATTGAGCATCAGATGGTTGTGAAGTGAGAACTTCTACCCTCCACGAGGAGGGTTCCGCATAATCGCCGCCCTTTTTGTAGCGATCCCTCTGATCCCAATTGAGGACAACCGTCACGTTTCCCTTCTCGTCTTTAATACTCCAAGTGGGCGGACAGTTGACCAGTTCCAGGGTCTTCAGCGCATCGCATACTATCTTCGGGATTGCGTTTATTGCTGTCATTGGAATAAAACAATTATTCAATGGTTCTTGGTCTTCTTCAAATGACAGTTTCTCAGTGCTTTCAGCACATAATTTAGTGAAACTACTCATACTTCATATGTACTAGTGTATTTTCATTAGAATTTGGTTACAGAATTCATTAATATTTTCATAATTGGCTTAATTTATGTGTAATAAAAAGAATATTCTGTTTACCATATTATGCACCATTTATTGTGTATCCTATCTCAAATTAATTATACAGTATATAGTAAAGTCTCAAGTTGTATCAAGATGGTTCAAGTAGTTTTATTTAATTTATCAAAAATTTCTTTTCTAAAGCTAATACTGTAATAATTATATATTTTAAAATATCTGTAATAATAACAATAACTCATTATTAATGAGTATAGTATGTATTAAATAAATTAATATTATGTATTATACCATAACTCTCTGGAAAGTGGCAGTACTGTGATAATTAAAACTTTTTAAGAAATGTATTGAATACTTATTAATATGTGGATGTTTTGAACAAAGATTGTATACAAGTTGTATATAATAAGAAACACTTTTGTGAGAATAATATAGAGAAAGATTATTCTACAGTATAGTAGAGTTTCATTGATTTATATAAAAAGTTGAGTCAGATTTTTATCATTAATATCAATAATAATGTAAAGTTATGAACAATATTAACATAACTAATTATAATGAATATGAAAAATGACTTTTTATAGACATTTTAAGTGATGTACAAAATTAAATATTTTTTTTATCAATTTAGGAAAAATTTCTGTAAAAGATGTAATATTAATATAATAATAAATATAATGTTTGGTATAAAATAAAAATTATTAACTAATTTAGAATTTCGTAATATTCTGCAATACAGTATAAGTTATATACTGTATAACATTATTTGTTGATTACAATAAATTTGACTGATTATAGGAGATAATAAAATTGATTTGATGTCAATCAATATTTCACTTATTAGAGCATAAGAGCTAAACAAAAAAATTTAATAAGAAAATGATTGAAAATCTGAAAGTTAACGACCACATATGCCTAATATAAATGGCAAATTGATATGCAGTACAGTATAGAGAGATAGACATTGGACACGAACCGGCTTTAAGTGCTTCAACACCTGGAGGCAACCAGCGCTCCTGGGACTTGAGCAACAGGAAAATGGTGTCCTTCTCTGCCGTCTGGAAGTACGTGTCGTCTTCCACTTCGGTTCCGTCCGACTCCAACACCACTCTCAGGTCCGACACATTATCGTAGCCTAACTTCTCTGCCGCGCGGACTTTGAACTCAAGAAGTGATTGGGCGACCACTGACTTGCGGATCTCGCGATTGCACGACCAGATCTTATACGGACGCTGAAGTCCCGGCTGACATGCAAATAGAGTTACATTTTTACAATTTGAGGATATCATTAAAAATATATTGATAATAATAAGAATAATAATGCATAATAAATTTGAGAATATTAAATTTACATTTGTAAAAAATCTTTTAAAAATAATTAAAGTAAATAACGATAATAATTATTACAATAAAGATATTTAATATAGTACATTGTGAATATTTATTTATATAAATAATGTTTACTTCTATGTTTTAATACACAAAGATTAAATTATAGTCATTAAAAAATTATTTAATTAACTTATTAAATAATAAAATTATTGTATTCTAAATAATAAAATATTTCATGCATTGTTTATATTGAAATGCAATTGCATATTAATTATATTTTGCAAAATATACTAATATCATCTGATATAAAAAAAATACAAAATCAGTAATAAATAAAAATAATTGAATAATTTTTATCATGTATATTATTAGATAATAAAATGTTTATGAAACTAGTAAACAATTGCATAAAATTCTACTATAAAATAAATTCAATAAAATGAATAAATTGGTGAAGTTGGAGGGGGATTGAGTTAAATATAAATGATCTATGTTAAATAAACAAACGAGAGTTTGAATGCTTACAGAAGTTGTCATTATATGAATGAATGGCAACACTCATAACAAATCACTTCCAATGCGTTCATCACTTCTTAAAAATTGATTTTAATCTTCAAAATACAATGAAATGCATTAATAATTGAAATGAATTTGCAAAATCAGTTTATCACTTACTTAATACTAAATTATTTAAAAACTAATTAATGTAAATATTAATTAGTTTTTATAAATATTAAAATCATTTCGAAAAAATTGTAATTATTTAATAAACAATTTATTAATGAATTGATTGATGCAAAACGAGATATACATTTTGAAATGCAAAGGAATGTGCTTTTTATCAGTTATTCACACAATTGAGAGCATTGTTTATACTAAATAGTGGTTTGAATTGAATATAATTAGTTTGATTTGAATCACATTTAATGCATTCATTTGAATCACATTTAATGCATTCATTTGGCGAAGCATTGCATTCATTGCAAGCGAATAGAGAATAGGGTTTAGGTTTAGATGTGTTTAGAGTTAGAGTTAGAGTCAACTCATATTCAGTGTCTAATTGATAGCAATGTCTGCACAGTATTGGTGTTGCAGTGGGTGTTGTGGCAAATGGCCGTCTCAGCCATACAAACACTCCCATCCCTCACACAGTCTCCCAACTCATCCCATCATCCCATCCATGCAACTGATGCAGCCTTTCCTCCCGACACCATCACTCCTATGCCAACCAAAAGTGCACTCAAAGTAATACTACACTGTATTACACACTGTGCATTGCACTGCAGCCTAACTCACATACACTCACTGTATTGCATGGAGTCATACACACTGTGCACTGCACTGCAGCCTAACTCACATACACTCACTGTATTGCAATATTGCAACTCAATCAATACAAAAGGGCTTTCAATGCATTCATTGTGTGCACTGTTTGCGCCCTTTTGGCACTCATAGGCAATGTTTATGTGTCAAAGTGTCAACAAATAATCAGTGGTTTTGTCGTCAAATGTGTGATAAAAACCCAAACCATTGACCAGTTTATGACACAAATGACACCAAATGTATTGAATCTCCTCTTCATTGCCATCAATTTGGATCTCATTTTCATGTCATTTCTATTTCCAGACAAACAACGAGTCCAATGATGGCAACGAAGGCAATGCCATTACCGCCGATGAGACCATTCAAACACAATCGCCATCCAAGCCATCGGTTCCCATCAATAGGGAAGTGATTCGCGAAGATATGGTGAATACTGCCGTCAACTTCCTCCTCAATGAACGAGTGGCCGACAGCCCTCTGCACCAGAAGAGGACATTCCTCCTGAGGAAGGGGTTGAGTCTCGAAGAGATTGACGCCGCCATCGATCGGTCCACTCGTGTCCGACCTCTGGAGACACACAAACCCATTGCCGGCAATAATACTCATGCGATGATAAATGGGCCACAGATTCAGCCATTGATGCCATCATTTCTGGTCCGAAGCACGCAATTGATGTCTTCGGTGGCCCTCTTCGGGGGCTTTCTTTACGGCGCGTATGTCTTATACAAGCGTTTCATTGAACCCATGATTTTCGAGAGACAACGCAAACCACATCCATATGTGGCGATTCAGCAACAGTTGGATCAGTTGTCGAAAGCCATGACTTTATTGCAAACCAATGTGTCGTCCATTGAGACCAATATTAAGCGACAAATTGAGTCCGAATTACGGCTAATGAAAGCTCCCGAAGATGTGACTCTTCACGAGCTGAAGACAGAGTTGGCCTCAATTAAGGCACTGTTAGTCAATAGACGACAATTCGCGGCCACACCTCAAGCGGGCATTCCTTTGTGGCAAATGAATGATCAAAAGACCGACAAAATGAGTGATGAATTGCCACAACATATGAACGGTTCGGTCGATGACAGCACTTCTAATAGTTCTTCTGATGATAATAATAGTCATAATGTGAACAACTGTTCCGTGGAAAGCACGTGCGGAACGTGTGGCACGACTGAAGTGGTCACAAATGGTCTTCATGAGTGAATTATAAGATTTAAATTTTTTTATTTTTGTTTTTTATACCATTAGTTTAGTCGTATTGTATGTCTCGATGGAAATGGATGTGATTTATACCTTCTCTTCAATAACTAAATATAATATATTATATTATAATAAATACTAGTTTTGGAAACATTTTAGGATTAAATATAAAATACTTAAAATCACTATTTAGTGAAATTCTAAACCAATTAAGTTATAATTTGTTATTTGCAATGAAATTAATAAAAACAAATGGTTTAAATCAATAAATTTTATTTTAGGTTCAAATATAAAACTATTTACAAAATATATTTTACAATAAATAAGTTAATAAAAATACAATGCATTTATAATTTAGTGATTGAGAAATGTAATAAAAAATGATTCATGAAATGATTGCCAACTTTTACAACAAAGCGCTCTCTTTCTTGTAATTATTATTATCGATTGAATGCCTTTGTTTGTGGAGAAAGAAAATTATAAAACAGATCAGAGTTAAGGCCAAAAGGGCCAGAATTGTGGTCGAAGTGGTCAGAAAAGTGATCAGGATTTCAGCGGTTGAGCTGAAGAGGAATAGTTGCGTCACTGAAACCATATCTTTAGGTGTTTTGTTGCTTTCGATTCTGGTGTCTATAACAGAGATGTCATTATTGGACCACAAGTTGTCTGCCAAAGGAGTGACACCATTGGGATTGCCATAAGTGGCAAAGTTTGTGAACGACTCGACCAATAGTTGTGTCATCTTTTCGTCGTCTTTGTTGGGAACGACTGGAGAGCTATGGATGAGACCAAAGGCCAGTAAGACATCGTCGCCGTGAATGGCGGACTCTATAAAACTGGGGGCAATCGAGAAGGAGGGCCGGTATTGGAGCTCATATACGTATGAGTTGGTCAGTGTTGTGTTGACTGAGTTTTGTTTAGTGAGTTGTCTCTTCTGCAGCAGTTTATTGAAGTGTTTCATATGGGATGTGATGAATAGAGACGAACAGAACTCCAGATACTTCTGACGGAGGGATGAGTTCTGGTTTTTGTTCATCAGAGCAGATATGAAGGCTTTGTTCTGATAACTGGTCGTATCGTTTGCGCCGTGTTTTTGATTGAAAAACATTTTCATATCGCTTTCAATCATTTCCAAAAAGTCATTTTCAGTCAATTCGTTGTTAATGATCTTATCGTAAAATCGCGATTTGCTCGCGAAGTGAGTTAATAGACAGAGACTTCCCTCGACTTTGTTTGTGCCGAGCATTACATCGGTCACACCCTTTGCAAAGATCCCTTTCTCCATCACTTTGAGCGGTTCCTCTTCAATGAGCTCCGAGTCAAAGGTTGGTCTCCAGCCATACGACGCCTTCTCCAGAATATTCTGTGCCGAGAGTTTGTTGAGACAATTGGTGTCTTCACATCCGACTTGAGTTAAGAATTCTTGAGCTCTGCTCTGATAGTTGTGTTCAAAAACCCATTTTCCAACCGCAATACCGCTCAAAAGGATAGCTCGTCTGAAAAGGGGTGGATTCATGTCTCGGACGGCCGGCGAAGTCAATAGTATTGATATAGACATCGAACCCGTGAAACGACCGAATACTGTGATGTTGTCGGCGTCGCCCCCAACAGCTCTGGCATTCTTTCTGATCCACTTGAGAGCCGTAATCTGATCCCAAAGACCTTGATTTCCAGAGGCGAATGAATCGCTTTTCAGGAATCCAAAGACACCGACTCTGTATTGAACGGTAATTACGATAACGTTTCCCAAAGAAGCCAAATATGAGCCGTCAAATTGTCGGGCGTCCGCAAAGTCATAGCCTTCTCCCGGCAACCAAACCATAACTGGAAGTGACATTTGTCTGGAGTTTGACAACTTCTTAGGGACATAAATGTTGAGATACAGACAATCTTCAGAAGTCTAAAGAAGATTAAAGAATTTCAATTAATATTTTGAATTATTTTTAAAGGTAACAAGTTTTTGAGTGTAAAATATTATAAACTTTAACTTACTTTGTGTTCCTCATCGACATTGAGGAGAGGATTAATAAGTTGTGGCAAATGTCTCATCTGAACACATGTCGGCGCAAATTCAGTGGCATCTCTCAACTCATTGGTCTCATTCAGCGCTTGAGGTCTTTGAAAGCGAAGTTTTCCGACGGGAGGCTCGGCGTACGGAACGCCTAAATATTGATAGCCTTCGACTTGCTTTGATTTGACGACATGAAGACCTCGGAGTTGTCCAGAAGTGGTCTGAAGAGTGGGCGCATCGGTCGAGAATTTCCTTTGAAGACCTCGGATGGAGCCGTCGATGAGCTCAGAACTCAGGTATAAGACGACTACTATTGACGCAAATCTCATAAAACAAATCATTGTTTCGATAGTATTTGTAAAACTTGTAAAACTTTTCTTTGATTAAAACAAGTGAACAGTTGAGTGAAGTATGATTTCTGTGAGCGTTTGTCAGCACTTATATAGGAGTTTGTGGTCAAAAACAAGGGGCAAGAATCGAGAGGGAGGGCAGAGAAAAGTGAAACTGGAATTCAATCAATAATTGCATCCAAATTGTTTAGTATTCATGGGATGTAATCAAGTTTAGTGACCCGATTAACGCTTAACTATAGGCTTAACTCACATTTGATAAGCAGGTTCACTGTCAAGGTAGCAATCACTGCACTGACACAGGCTATGGCACATCCACTCTCTACAGGCTACAGGCGCTCTCCACTCATTGCCTCTCTTAAGGTAAGGCATAGAAAACTGTCACAACTCTGAACGCTATCGCAATTTGATGCCTCCTCTGTCTTACCCTCTATTATATCTCTACTTTAAATAGAGACAGTTATAAGAAAAATCAATTTTTATTTGCTTTGAATTCTTTGGAAACCAAAAAAGTAAAACAATTTGAACTTTGATTGACTACATTAACCACAGACAGAGATTAAGAACTTTTGCAAACTCTCGACCCTCAGAGTTGGGTCATTCATCTGAGTCCTAACACGAGTCCAACGAATGATCTTTGGTTTCTCACACGTAAGCACACGTAGGAGAGAGAGAGAGAGAGAGAGAGAGAGAGAGAGAGATTTCTTATAACTGTCTCTATTTAAAGTAGAGATATAATAGAGGGTACGACAGAGGAGGCATCAAATTGCGATAGCGTTCAGAGTTGTGACAGTTTTATATGCCTTACCTTAAGAGAGAGAGAGAGAGAGCAAAGACTTTTGAAAACTTATTTTGAATAATAAGTGAAAATTAATGACAATCACAATGAATTTAGAAAACTTTTCATAAAAAGATTATAACGATTATTAATCTAATCAAAGATCAGGGGATTTAATAAACAAAATTAATATACAATTAAGAATTTATAATCACAGAATTTAGTTTAAATAAATGTTTATTTCAAACAATCTTACAATTAAAGATTAACTATTTGGTTCAAATATTTAACATTTTTGATAATATAATAAATACAGTAAGTTAATGGTATACAATGTCGTAATGTATTACGAGTTTAAGAGTTAACACTAATTTATTACATTATTTTTGTTGTTTCAATTTAAGACATCCTTTGGCTAATTTATTAATTTTGGACACAATTTATTAATATCCATAAGTATATGTTTGCCAAAAACCTTAGCTTTAGTTAATTTCACATTTTTGGTAAACAAGGGTTCACTGAATTGACCGAAAGTACTAAACATTATATCATTTTTGACACAACTTTTTTCACTCTATAAGTTTAGTACAGAAAGTGTTTATTACGTGAATCTGAGATAAATAGCCAAAAGCTATGGACTGATGGATAGTATGGAACCATAGATAAGGATCGCATATTAATAATAGTTGTTTACAACTCTGTCTGACATAAAGACAGAAAATGTAATAATTTTTATTCTAATGAAAAGTCGTTTCCCCTTTTCATGACATCATACGTCCAGCAGATTTGAAATTTCTAATTAAAGTGTTTTTATACCACTTTATGGTTTCGGAGGAAATTTTTCTAAAATCTGAAACAAACATTTCGAGTGAAAAAATACAACGTTTTCTTGTTTTGTAAACAATTTGTGTAATAAAAACTGGTTAAGTTTATCATTTGCTCTAGTTCTGCGAATTCAATGTCATCATCAAATTAGATAGCTTGTTTAATTTAGAAAAATGCTAACAAATTTGGTGTAAATAAATTTATTTTGTAATCAAAATGTTTTTCATTTGAAATGAATCATAACTTTTATTTCAAGAAATATGTTACAAAATAGTTACAAAATCTTTTGTAAATTAATATAAGATAGCAATAACTAAGAAATATTAAAAACCTTTTAACTAATTGTTTAAAGCTCCTGATAATTTCTATAAATAAGGCAACTTTAAAATAATAGTTACCTATTAATTTCGTAATTTAGACCTAGATAAAAGCATATCAAAGTGTATTGGCTTTTATTAACCTCATCCGGACTAAGATGTCCTTTATAAAAGCAATCAATTGTTACAAAGTTCTCAAGTATTTCTGACAAAAGTTTTATCAATAAAATGATATAATAACTACAGTATGACGCAAAGCGTATAAAATAGTATAAGTCCTATAAAATAGACTCCGAGTTTAATGACTTTGAAACTGAAGTTTTTTCAAAACAAAAATAAATCTAGAAATGTATGGAAAAATTTCAGTTAACATTGAAAGTGAATTTTCAGAATAGGTTAAGAATCTTATTTAAAAAGTTTTGCACTCTTTAGAGAAGAGGTCAACCATTTCAGGNATAGGTTAAGAATCTTATTTAAAAAGTTTTGCACTCTTTAGAGAAGAGGTCAACCATTTCAGGACAATAACATCGATTTGAGTGAACTTCGATGACATTAGAGAAAATGTCAGTAAAATATCTACTCGCAGAATACCAATGACTACCAATACTTTTATCTATAAATATGTGTTTAATCTCTTTATCTAAATGTATGGATGAGTTCAGAATGATTTAACTTAAAAGTACTCAAACTCTCGATACCTGTCGCACATTTTTGTTATACTGAATACAGTATGCAATGGAAAGTAAGCGCAAATTTTCACCCAAATTTCCACTAGTTTTTTACCCCATATTTTCTACTCGCTTTGCTAACACTAAAACACTACTTATACAGTATTTTTAGTGTTAGTATCGGCACTGTCATTTCAGGTTTTTAGTGAAAATGGTTATTATATTTTAGGACCAAAAAGTGAATTTCCATTACTGAAGAAACTTGATTGCAGTGAAAGCATGTAAAAACATTATTTACTAAATTAAGGTTTACGTGGATTACACATGAAAATAAAGATTAGAATTCCTATGAATTTTGATAGACTCTTAGGAGTGAATATTTTGATGGAAAGTATTTCCTTAAATAAAACCAAAACATTTTGGTTGAGTTCGTGAACTGAAAGACAGAGATAAACGCTTTGATTGACAAATGAAAACTCAAAATATAATACAAAACAAATTCTTTCGATTCATTTCATATTGAATGATGAAATTTGTTTAATTTTTTTCTTTAAAGTCTTGCGATAGAAATCAATTATATACATTACGTATGTGAGCCTTATTATTCATTCAATTCACTTCTAATTTTCTAATTTATTGAAACTCAAGCACATTTTTTGCCAAAAGTTTTTTATGAAAGTTCTTGAAGGCATTCATAGC